AGTTACTTCTACACGGATGAGGTGAAGACCATCGTCAAGTCCAGCCGGGACGCCGTGAAGATGGTGAAGGGCAAGGTGGCCGAGATCATGCAGAACGACCGACTGGGAGGGCTCGATGTGCTGGAGGCCGAGTTTTCCAAGACCTGGGAGTTCAAGAGCCACAATGTGGCCGTGTATTCCATCCAGGGCCGGAGAGACCACATGGAGGACCGCTTTGAAGTTCTTACGGACCTAGCCAATAAGACGCATCCGTCCATCTTCGGGATCTTCGACGGGCACGGGGGCGAGGTAGGAGTTCTCAGGGGCTTTGAGTGTGTGTGTGTGTTTGTGTATGTGTAAACAACAGGACGTGGTGGGCGTGTCGGGTAGCACCTGTGTGCGAGGGGCGTGGTGATGACCTGGTGTCGGGCTGGACAAAGCCACTAGTTCCAAACGTGGCCAAGTTGCCAGAAACACCGCGGGATCCAGACCTCTTGTACTGAGGGTCCAGTGTGGGGGAGGAAGGGTCATCCATAACCTATTTCATGCCTCATAATTTATGAGGCTTCCCAAGGCCAGAGCCCAACAAATGACTGTGTTAGTTTTGCTGGGAGGGTTAATGGTTTCTACAGTGAACTTTGGCCCAGGGCCTCAGCGCCCCTGTTCTGGGGTTTGAGGCCGAGCTAGGCGCAAAGAACGAAGAAATCTTTGATTGTCGTTAGGAAAAAGATAAAATCTGCAGAGCCTGATCAGTGAAGACTTAGTAAGGATGAAGGAAGCTCTGACTCGTTTCCAGCTCTTTCACCCTGAGGAGGAACCCGAGGGGCAGCGCTGCGCCTCTTCCTAATTCCATTAACTTTACAGGTGCAATCCGGCCACTTGACAGCAGCGCTTTGCTGGCCGCCTGCTTTTAGCTGGATCGAGGCACGGGACCGAGATGCCTCTGGCCTTTGCAGAGGTGGCAATCCCCGCAGAGGTAGCGGTGCCCAGATCTTGCCCCTGCGCCCTGGCCGGCGTGGGATGCAGACGTCTCCCTGCTTCTAAATTCCTCTATTTGGGGTTCATGTGGGATCAAGAGATGAGGTTAGAGGCTGGTTCAAGTCCCTCTCCCGCATTTCTGCGGCACCCTGATTGCTTGTCGAGGCTCAGATTTCCTGGAGGTCAGGGCGAGAGTTGGCTTTGGTCCTTGGGCATCGGCCCAGGCGAAGTGAGTGGCGAATGTGGCTCCAGAGCGGTGCTCCAGAGAGTAGCAGGCCAGCCATCCCATCTCTCTAAACTTGGCAGTTTGGAAAAGAGTTTCATTGCTGCATACTTTTTTTTTTAAAAGCATATTTTCTTACTCCCTGCACCCCCTCTTCACCACCCCTTCTTCATCATTTCCTCCTCCCCCCGCCCCCTCCTCCCATCCAACTTTCCCCCCCTCAATTCTCTTGCCGCTTCTGGTCTCTGGGTGGGCTGTAGGGGATATCATTCTCTTTCAAGCTTGTTCTTTGGCCTTTGATTTGGGTGAACATTGAGAATGCTCTCAACTGGGTATCTTAACTGCCTTCTCTCTTTGATACAAGGTCACTTCACCCAACCCTCTGCTAATCTTTCCCACATACTGTATGTACCTACCTGGTAGAACCAACTTTGCCAAGAATGGCAAACTTGATTGGAAAATTTATTTGGTAGAGATGAAATCAGTTTTTGCTATCTTCCATCCACCCTAGCCCTTTCTGTATTCTGTGTTTCAAAACGAAGGTTTCTCACTGATTGTAAATTTGTAGCCCCTTGTGTAGTATGGGGTTCTTTCCTTTCCCCTTGGGTAGGTGAAAGATGTGAAGTTAATTGAGGAAAGGGACGCTGTGTATTTGGGTAAAAAACATATCTGAAAGATAAGGTTGCCAATATAATGGCTGACTTGTTTCCTGGTCTGAGTCAGAATGTCTATATTTTCATTTTATGTGCCTCGAATGTTGTAAATCATTTAATAAAGCTTATATTTATTATATACTTTACATTAAAATTGTTGGCAGATGATGATCTGATTCTTGTGTTAGAAAGTACAGTTTTATTCTTAACTTAAAGGTCTAGATGTAGTATTAATGTTGTGAAACTCGGGGTTGTGCTCATCTGGGTGTGCTGTATTGGCATGTTTTGAGCCTGCACATGTAAGTGAATGGGTATTTTTAAATTTTTTTCTAAGCTGATATTCTAAAACGTGAATATTGAAGACTCCAACAGATTTCAGGTTGAAAAATTTCCAGTATTATCTTCTGGCAAATGTACCATTCAGAAAAGGGACATGCGAAATGCTTTTATTTAACTAGAAATATTTTACATGTATAGGGCTTTTCGTTAAAATTTTAAATAATAAAGGAGATCATCATTGTTAGCTAAACTATGAAATGAGTTTCATTGTGCCTTATATTAAAAAGCTTGCTGTTTGCAAAATAATATTATCAGTACCCTGAAAAACAGAACAATTGTTCTGTCTGTAACATCCTACAGTGCATAGCCAGTTCATTCATTTTGGCTTTGTTTTAGGGCAAAATAAGGAGTTATAAAAAAGAGCTATTTAATTGCTATTGGGAATGTGATGACAAATAATCTTAGGTATTTCTCTCTTCCTTTTTCTTTCATTCAAAGAAAATCCGATCATCTAATTCTTGTCTTCAGTGTTGTTTAGCTTCTTTAATATTCACCAGAGGAGGGTGCCACTGTTTGATTTTAGTGTAGATGATAGTTCTCACCTTTCAAAAAGAGGAACCTTTTTCTGAACTCTCTACATACACATATATGTAGAGAGTAGTAGTAGTGTGGTATGGAAGATGATGAGGAATTTAATTTTGTTTCTAATAATTCAAACTAATAAGATAGGCTATTAAAAATCAGGACCCATGTACAATGGTAGTGCTTTTAGATACAGAAGGAACCTAAGCCACCTTGTATATCTATTTCATTCTGTCTTTTAGAGATGTTTATTAATGGCAGGAGAAGTTGTGACCTTCCTTAGACTGCATAGCTTATTCAAGGCCTTCAGTTTGAATAAGCTTTATATTAAACCAGTGGACAAATTAGTTTGCATATTTACCTAGGTAAATAGATAGCACACTAGGGATACAGAGGTGAATGAGACATGATTCCCATTCTCAGAAAGTTTCAGTGTGGTGAGAGAGATAGACCTGTGTACCAGAAATTATAGTCATTGTGTGCTTAGGGTGTTATTGGAATACTGAAGAGGGTCATTTAAATCAAATTGGAAGGTGCGAGGCCCTGGGAAAGACACCTTGAAGGCATCATTTACTGCAAGGTTAAAAGTGTAAGCTTTGAATCTGTGCTCTGCCTTAAACTAGCTGTGACCTTGGGCAAGTTGCTTAAGCAGCTTTATCTGGGAGTTTTTTTTTTCTTTTTTCGGTATGGGGCCTCTCATTGTTGTGGCCTCTCCGGTTGCGGAGCACAGGCTCTGGACGCGCAGGCCCAGCGGCCATGGCTCACGGGCCCAGCCGTTCCGCGGCACGTGGGATCCTCCCAGACCAGGGCACGAACCCGTGTCCCCTGCATCGGCAGGCGGACTCTCAACCACTGCGCCACCAGGGAAGCCCTATCTGGGAGTTTTTAATCTGAAAAATACGGATAATAATGCATGTGAGGTTCATGTCATCAGTTGTATTAATACCCTATCTAGAAAAATACTTGATGGAGAGAAGGATGTGGAAGAAGAAAGCTTAGAGACCAAGAAGTCTGTAGTGTTTGGACAACGGTATCCAAGGGAAGGAAAGAGACTCTACACATGAAAGCCACAACTTTGATCACTAGAAAGGTGTATGTTGGTTATAGATAATTCATTAGGTATCCACCGAACTCTCTATCACTATTAGTTCTAACTTCCGGTGAACTGATTATTAATTTAGGATTCCAGGTATCCTAGCATTGGGGAAGTAGCATCCTGGCTTCAGGTGCAAATTTTCTGATTAGTGAAAAGGAATATTCTTTATGATTAATTAATAAATTGGTATTCTGACTTGTACTTCAGCCTCTTCTGAGTTGTTAACATGAGTTAGTTCTCTTGAGTCTGTTCAACTGTGTATTTTTGACTAAGCTATGTCTCCAGACTTGTTATGCTGAGAACCAGACTCTGGATGGCTGTGATTTCCAGATGGATGATAGCTTAATGAGCCATGTTTTTTTTAGAGGTGCTATGGGCCAGCTTCCTTACTTGATTCCGTTGCGTCCTTGATAACATTCTAACCACCATACTATGGGTGGATGGTTGAAAGTGTGTGTGTGTGTGTGTGTGTGTGTGTGTGTGTGTATGTGTGTTTAAAGCTATGGCAGTGACTCTTTTGCTGTATAATGAAAATTAAAATAACAAAAAGGAAAAAAATAGCTTAGATTGTATCAACTAATGTGGAAAGGTTATTTTTAAAATTACAAAATACTGTTTATCTAAGAAAATTGTTTTTGGTGCTTATCTATAATTTTTATCCACAGGCAAAATGTGTTTTTTGTTTTAAACATTTTATATTAGCTAGAAGAAATATCACTGACCGTTTGAGGCACCTTTGTCAATGTTCATGGCTGAAACTTATATAGAAGAATGATTGTTATGTGTTCTGTATGCTTATGGACATTATTTTATTAAAGGTCATATATCATTGTATCATAAAATTGACACACAGCCGTTTAAGCTTAGAGTTCCACACTTCACATCAGAGAGAAGCTATACTTCGGTGCTTGTCAGGGGCTATAGTCTTGAGGCTTAGCACTTCTCAGAAGCTCAGAAGACAAACTGCTAATGGAGGGTTGCCTGAAGGATATATACAGTCTTGTTCTTTAGGTGAGTGGTTCTTAACTTTTCTTGAGTCATGCTTCTCTTTGAGGATGTTATGAAACTACCGACATATCCCCCAGAAAAATGGACATGAGCACATCAAGTTTTGTTTATAATTTCAAAGAGAATTAGATGCCTAAAGCCTCTGGATTTTAGGTTAGTCTAGATAGAATAAAATCTGTCTCTGATAAATCTAGACCTGCAGGGAGCTGTGTACCTGGACCCCACCTTGCCCTGATTGCCTTCCTCTTCCTTCCTCTCTGTCATTTTGCATTTATTGACTCGTGTGCTGGCATTTGTTTGTGAGGATTGTTATGAGGGATGGTCTCCCAAAGCTCTCTGACAAATCAACTTTAGGGATGTCACTGAGGACTTTATTTGTTACAGTATATAATATCCTCTTTATGAGGACCAAGGAAGAGAGAGTTCTCTAAGAGCTTTTTGTTTTTATCTTAAGGATGCTGAATCATCTAACTGATTGGATCATCCTGTG